TTGCCTAAAACTCAATCCGAAAGTATGGGAGTTTTGAAACGTTATCCATGTGGGAACATATCCATGTCAAGATTGACTATTTAAACTGATACTCTAAAACTCCATAGATAAAAAAATAATGAATAAATTAATAAAATCAAAAAGCCCAAAGGGAAAAAAAAAATAAAAATAAAAAGTGCATGGTGGAGATTATGAAAGCAACATGAATGGAAGACAAGCCAAGAAGGGATGATCAAAGGGTTGCAAGCAATGGGATCATATAGTGATGTGATTTAGCGTCCGAATGATTGTAAATAATAGAGATCTAGAAGACGCGTTGCGCAACAGGAGAAAAATTGGTAGGTTCGAGATTTTGGTGTCTACAATTATGTTGATTTGAAAGTTGTTTCTCAATTATTTGAGATTTTTAATATATCATTCACAAAACTCCAACACGTGGTGGGCTTCAAGATTCGACATTTCTATAGCATATGACTAATTAATTATTGCGGGTTATTTGACAAGTCACGAAGAAAATATATTGGAGTCTTCTTTATTATATTATTTAATCAATTGCAAGCCAAACGTGCTTATAATATTTTTTAACTTGCATTTAAAATCTGCACATTTCAAAATCCAACAAATAGATGGGATTCTAGGATTCAATTAATTCCTTGTCGAAGACTTATTTGCATACCCATTCCGATTGATCCACACTACACTATATTCTCGTAAGATGATACACATTAGCTAATAATCCTTCTGATGCTGGATTGTAAACACACTGGAAACTTAGAATCAGGTACATATGAAATGAGAGTAATGGAGTAGCTATTTTCAGGGTTTTTTTAGTCAATCTTCTTTTGTGGAACATATTTTATATAGTTATATCAATATGGGACAAATCAAAGATACTGTTTTATAGAATGATTTCGATATATTTGTATTGCTTGTTAGACGACTTCAATAGCTATGTATGAATTAGCAATTTTAGATAATTCTTGATTTGTCCTTGATGTGGATAGTTGTACGACGATGAAATTCTTTAGAAGACTTTCTACTGCTATCTCATAGGACGATATAATTTGTCAACAAATGAATTATTCTCTACTCTTACACAGTGATGTATGTAAGATAGAAGAAGATATTCGATTTTCATTTTCATTTTTCAATTACAAAAGCAAAAGTAATGACTTTTGTATATTTTTATAAAGGTAGAGGGAGGAGGGTCCATTTTATGCATCAAAAAGTTTGTTCCCATATTCATATGGTTGTAGGAGTGCTTGAACAGTCTCTCTAAATGGGGTAAAGTTAATAGTTGATAAAAGTGAATGTTGGACTTTTGGAATTTGAAAAAGTCAGTTTGAACTATTAGAACACTGAAAATTGAGGTGGAGAAAAAACATAAAGAATACTTTTTTTTTTCCAATTTTGGAAGCTTATATTTGACATAAAAGATAATTTGAAATTTGGCTACAGTGTTTCACAAAATTATTGAAACATTGGCATGTATAGCGATAGGCTGATAGCACACATTTTGAATTATGCAAAGTTGATTGGACTGAAATGTAAAAGCCCTTTTGTCCTTGGGTAATGTGATAGCCATTGCCAATTGATTGACTCAAAATAGTTGGGTAAATTTGAAGTTTAATTATATTCAAAAATGAAAATTGTATTCATTATTGATATAATTAATCCTATGTTTGCCTCGTGTTTACAAACATTCGAATCATTTGGTATTTACACAATTCGAGAGATCAACAAATAGTATTAACTTTTTCACTATTCAATTTTATCTATTTATAATTTAAATCGTTTATAAACAATTTCTAAACATCATTTAAGTCTCCGTTCAACAATATTTATAAATTGTTAAACTTTATTTTCAATGAATCCACAAATAGTATCACTTATGTGTCACTTATTTTTATATATTTCTGAATTAAACCGTTTATACATACTTTCGAGACGAAGAAAACTATAGGTGATAGTGCGAACTGAATGAAGTGTTAAATATGCAGCCAATCGTGTCAATCGAGTCAGCCCAATATGACCCCACGAGCAAGGTTGTCCGAGCCATCGAGCCAAATGGATATTTTTACTTTTTTCTATTATTTTTTGAAAAGATATTTATATGTATATCGTTTATATCTAGATACTAGTGTTATAGCCAATAATAACTTAACACCTTCAATTTCTAGCATACATGACAATTGGACCTTCAATGTAGTTAATGGAAATAATTTAACACCTTCAATTTTTAGCATTTAAATTTAACATACCTAAAAAGCATGTAGTAGTAGGTTCTATTTAATTAGAAACATGTTTGAACTGAAATAATATTGTATTATTGGACTGATTTTGGAGAGTTGTATAAAGTTTATCCCTTTGTTCCTATGAATAATATGATTAATCTAGTGGCACCCTTGATGTGACTCAAATTGAATTCAATTTGTTTGCTGTATTCCAACTTAAGAATCAAAGTAGGCAGTAGGGTTACTTAAACCTAAAAAGGCTAATCGTATTCATAGATCGATTGTACTACATACATAATGATTTACATACACGTAATGTGACAAAATATGATTGAGTAAGAACTTCTTCAACTAAATAAAAAAAAAGAATCTGTCATCCTCTCTATATAAACAAAAAAAAGAAAGAACATAAAAAAAAAAAAAATAATAATAATTTGTGAAATTGTTTTGTTGACGTAATAAAGATTTGGTTAATTTACATATAGATCCAGAAGCACAAGTGATCGAACTGTCCCCAAAGTCTGATGGCAACAAACAGATTCATATGTGAAATTTGCAACAAGGGTTTCCAAAGGGACCAAAATTTGAATTATAAAAAAAAGAGTTCATAATCTACCATGGAAACTCAAACAAAGAAACAACAAAGAATTAGAAAGAAGGTTTAGAACTGGGGTAATTGATGGTCGGTGGAAGATGGGGGTGGCGGCGGCGGCAGCAACAGCTGCGTGGAAGGGAGAGGGGAAAGGGATGGTTGGGAAGATGTATTTTTTTTTTGGGTCAATATGTTTTAAATTGTTTTAAATGGTTTTGCTTGCATTTTTATAAAATTCTGGGACTTGACTTATTTCTCTTTAAAGAGGGTAAATTCGTCATTTTATAAGACTTTAAAGGACAAAATGGACAATGAGGACCTTTCGGGCAAATAAAGGTTAATATGAGGGTCTAAATGCTAAAGTTGAAATGATTATAGATGATCTGCATAATGAAAGCAAAACGTAAGAGCGTTTTACGCCAGAATATAGTGTGTTAAATTTTTGTGCATATGAAAGAAAGAAATAATTAAAATAGCATTTAAATTTACTCACCAACTTTATCAAATTAGGGCAGCGGCCAAGCGGGTTGGATGAATTCTTCCAGTGCTGACATATAAAGTTTTATAAAATAGTAAAAAAACGTGAAGAAGTTGAGCCCATGTTTGATGGGGGATTAAAATTGATTTTAATAAATTTTGATAAAAGTTGATGAAATGTATGGTTGAAAAGTTACAGATTTCACGAAATGTGGTTATAATTAATTTTTGACATTAATTTAAACTAAAATCTAAAGTTTGATTCCTATCAAACATGAGCTAAATTTGAAACAGCAATCATCCTAGACTCCTAGTCCAATGCGGGTGGAGAAAAATTTCTCCCCCAATGAGAAACCCTTTTTTCGTGAAGTTTTAAATACGTTTTATTCTACAAAAAATGCTATTTGTATAGGGCCACATGGACCCTGTATGTTACAACTGGCCCCTTGTAACGTACAGGGCTAAGCATCTCTTTTTAGGGTTGTCCCTAGAGAGAGATGGCCAACGTAGCCCGTCTCTCTAGCAAAACTCTTCTTTTCATTCTAAACGTGGTGAAAAAGTTAGAGAGGAAAACAAAAAGGATACTATTTGCCCAAAGGAAAATTTCACTTTCATAGCCTCTCCCATCGTATCATTTCTTGCCACAAAGCAATCACCAACCAGCAACACCAGATAAAAGTAGAGACCTCAGTGACTTCTGCACTTTAACACAGAAACACGTTGTTTGCTTTAAAACACTTTCTTAGACATGTTTTTCGTATTCAAATTTGTTACTTTGCAGTATTAAAATTTTACGATATATTAATGCATTATGATGACTTTATAAATGGCCTTTTGTGACACCACACAAGGTTTTATATCCCAACTTACCATCATGAATGACCTTTTGTGACATCACATAACGTCTTATTTCGCGCTCGTAAAAGATAAATCATCATGAAAATACGGAAGATAACTTGATCTGTACAAAAGATGCAGCAAGTTGTACGGATTGACACTAAACCCCCAATTCCCAACTACCCACCTATCCTTTCGGGGATATTGGATTGAATTGGAATGATATAGTGCAACCACCGTAATATCATAAAGAGGTGACACTAAAGACGTGACGGAGGACGACAACGTGAATAATAATAAAAAAGAAATTTATTCGTAAAATATAAATTAGTGTTGCTTGAATTTCTTTTGAACGGACATTAGAATTATTGAAATTTATTAAATAACGGAAAAATTGTAATGTTATTAATTAGAATGAAGGTAGAGTTTTTGTACTTTAACACATATTTAAAGACTCAAAACAAATTCTAACCAAGTCGAATTATAATTATGTAGATAAATCTGAATAAAACTTAAAAATGGCTAAAATGACAAAAATACCCTTAAACTAACTAAAAGTAGAAAAATGCTAAAACGAACCCTTAAATGATGAAATTTGATCCCGAAAGTTTGAGGACCCGCTAAAATGTGCCGAATCATGGATTTTTACCCCGAGTGAGATTTTATGAACATCAAAGTAGAGAGATTTTTTGCAGTCTAATTACTCTGTACAGTTCGATTCATTGAAGAGGTTCACAGCAAATATACAAGGAGGTATTGTTGGGGGTGGGAGTTATGAAGAAAAGTTTAGCCCTTCAACGAAAAATGAAAAGGGCTAATTGCCTAAATGCACACGGACACAAAACAGCATAAATACAACTCTATAAATTATTCCACAACAAGGATTCAAAGCTGGAGCTAGAAATTTCCACACGATTATCAATATCACCACCGCTCAACCATGGCGGAGGGTCCAGCCATCCGTCCACCACCGAGTTGTCCACATACACAAAATCATTCCTCAGTTCTACCGAGTCGAAACACGATCCCAGAATAGGCAATTTAATGATCTCACTCAATTCTTCTGATGTAGTTGAAAGGTCCGTATCAGAAACCAGAGATGATAATGAAGAAGAAAATGATAAAATACTTGACGAAGATGGAGAAGAAGATGAAGGGGATGTGAATAAATCAAACTTCGTCATAGCTGCTGCTTTTGCTGCAGCCGCCTGGACATCTCGTGGGCTACGGGAAACCGGTCGAGGAAGTGAGCCGGAGAGTTCAGGGAAGTTGAGTATGGCGGAGCTTCCTTTAATGCTTAACGCCGCCACGTCGTGAGCTCGGGCTGCCATTTCCGGTGTGGAAAAAGTGCCGAGCCATATGCGTGATTTCTTGCGGGGCTCGCGGATTTCAGACACCCATTTTCCCCAGTTGCGCATCCTGACGCCCCGATAGACCGGGTGTTTGCTGCCACCGCCGGTAGACTCCCTGATTCTCTTTATTTTTTTGGTAGCTTCTACAGTTGACTTCTGCTGGGCGTTCACAGCACAATTATTGGCAGCAGATAGAAACTGTGTTGCTCCCGGAGATGATAACGAGGACGAGGAGAATGAGGATGAGTTGGAACTGGTTTCAGGCTCTGAATTTTTAGTTTCAGAACTCATCTTAGTAATCTATCTGTGTTTTACTGCAAATTTCTTTGTGCATATGATTCTACTAGGAAATGTACTAGCAAAAATATGTATATATATATAGAGAGAGAGAGAGAAGATAGGTTCTTGTAGAGGTTGAAAACTTTAGCAGAGAAATGGAAGGAATATATACACCCATAATCAACCAGGTCCTTTTTTTTTCTATTATTTCCCAATGACATAGTCTCACAAAGGGGATGGGGGGGTCCTATTGGAAGAAATAGGTCATTCTGCAGACGACTTGGGGTCCCTTTCTACAACACGACACAACCAGCCAACCCTATGATATTTCCCGTTTCTACTACGCTGACACTGTAGATTTATCACTCTTCACCACCACTATTTGTTTCTTTCTTGAAAGGAATTTACACGCATGCCCATGTACTTATATTAAGACGTGTGTACCTTCCCTATTTTGTTTTTTAACTTCACTTGTTAGACTTTCATTAAAGGGAGTACTCGATTTAACTCTAATAACACAATTATTAAATTTTTGATTAAACTCTAATAACACAATTATATTATTGAACTTTACTTGACATGATAATGATTAGAGGTGTCAAGACGGACGGGTCGGCCAGACCCGTAAAACTCGGCTCATGAAAATCGGGACCGCGGGCCGACCAGTGACTTGTGCGGGCGGTTCACGGGCCAAAGAGGTGTAACATGCGGGTTTCGCGGGTTGTACTCCCACAGGCAGCGGTTAACCCGCGGCCTATAAAAAAAAATTGAAAAAAAAAACAAAATTTTTTTTAAAAAAAAAGAGGGGAGAGAGCCGTTCATCTACTGAAATTAATGATGATATTGTTGAAGATTTCAAAAATCTTACAGTTCATGAAAATTGATTGAGAAACAAATGTATAATTTTTCAACAACTAAATTATAGTTAATAGTTAAAACTTAAATAGGTGACAAACTAGTTGGGATATACTTAGATTATAAATTATAGTAAAAGTAGGTGTCAACCTAGTTGGGATGTACTTTACTATAAATATATACCTTCACGTAATTAGAAATGCATTTAGTTGTTAAATTTCAATTATTAAATTTGAATTCTATGTAAACATTTTTTGGTATAAATATGAATTTATCATTTTGTTCAATTCTTAATTTACATTTAATAAAAAAAAACAAATTTGCTATTAATATAAACAATTCTTGGAACAACCTGCGACCGGTGAACCGCGACCCGCATGGGCTCGACCCAGATGGGTCAGCGGGCGGGGCCTGAGTTGTAGTCCAAAATTTGTGGACCGACCCGAAACCAGCCCTAAACCCGTAGCGGGAAGGCTTTTTTTCATGCGAGCCGTTACCGGGCTCATATGTTAGCGGGCCGACCGACCCAGCCCACCCGGATTGACACCTCTAATAATGATCTACTTAAGAAGTTTTGATATTATGGTTGGACTTATTTAAGGGTCTGTTCTCTTTACTGTTTTCAGGTCATTTTCAATTTTCAATTTTCGAAAATACTGGAAACACGTTTACTTACCTATTTTCATAAACAAATTTCCAAAAACGAGTTTAAAATTTACAAAGAAAATGGAAAACGCCAAAAAGTCGTTTTGGCTGTTTTCAGTTAAAACCAAGCCAAAACTTTATTTTTTTATTTTTGAAAACAATTTTTTAAAATGACAAAAGGAACGCGTTTTCAACAATTTCAAAATGGACATCAAAACACAAAACTCAAAATAAATTAAAAACTAAAAACTGAAACACGAATAGAATAACTCCTAAAAGTTTTTCAATTTGAGCTAAGAGCCATTTATTAATCTTGAGTGAGTGAGGACGTTTACCATATGAAATTTTGCTCTTTATTTGAGATTGTAATGCTACTTCGATATATCGATGGTGCCACACGACATTTATTTCAAAGAAGTGAGAATAAAGTGGTTCATGTGTTAAAATCTTTTGTTAAGTTGGATGGACGTTTGATTAGGAGGCTTGATTGTATACCTTCTTTCTTCCACTTGCTGTTTGTGATCGTTCCTTCTATCAACGAATTTGAAGAATAATCATAATCTTTCATTTTTAGTTAATCTAATTGTCTAGATTTATTACAATCTTTACTCAAGATTGTGTATATAGGGCTTGTTTGGCACCCATTCTTTTGAAGAATGAGTTTTTGAATAGTGATTGATGTAAATAATGTGTGGTTAAAAAGTAAGAAAAATTTTTGGGTTTATGTGTAATATTATTTTATTTGGAGAATGTGTAGTTAGAAATGAGTACTGTAAAAAAATGAAAATGAGAATGAGATAAAAAAATGGGTGTCAAACGGGGGCATACATATTAATGGAAATTAAACAAAACCATACTTTAAGTATTCAACCTTCTAAAATCAGATTGGAAGTTTGATATTTCCAAAATCAGATGTTTTTGTTAATTAATATATTATTAGATAAAATATATTATTAAATTGAGCCAAACCCTATGTCCCTCCACCCACCCCTCATTTCCCCCCAAACCCATCTCTCTCTAACTTCCCTCTCGCTCTCGCCCCCATACTCCCGTCTCTCTCTAACTCTCCTCTCGTCGCAGTTTTGTGCCACTCTCCCGTCTCTCTTTTCGCTGCACACAACATCGCCGCGAAATCTGGCCGCAACAACTGGTCTATCTAAATCTGAGCGTTATTGATTTGTATTGTGGTGGCTGGTGATGGAGACTTGTCTCCTTGGCTGCGCTGGCCAAAGCTCTGGAGCGTCTAAGGTTTCTACTCCGCCTGCTTCACCTACGAAGCATAAATCTCCAGCTCCAGTGGTGGCTCCTACTTCAACTCTTGCAGCTTCAGTTCCTATGAGTTCACCACCGACAGTTTCCACTCCGGCTCCTGTAAGTTCTCCATCGACAGTTTCCACTCCGGCTCCTATAAGTTCTCCACCGATAGTTTCCACGCCTGTTTCAGTGAGCTCTCCTTCAGCTCCCGAGCCAGTCAACTCACCGCTGCTGGCTGCTCCAGTCCAGTCTCCACCATCTCCAGCTCCCGAAGCGGCCACACCACCAGCTGAATCTTCTCTACCAGCTCCGGCTTTTGCGCCCTCGAGTGAGACTCCGGCAAAGGCTTTAGTTCACAGCAAGAAGAAGAGCAAGAAACATACTTCTCCTGCTCCAGCTCCGGAGCTGATGAACCCACCAGCACCTCCAACCGAAGCACCCGGTACTGTTGTGTACGTGTATAGTGCAATGGTGGTGGAGGTGCGCGGTGGTGGAGCAGATCTGTGGTCGCAACGGCGTTGGGTTTATTTCTAATATATCTCTATTTCTTCTTTATCTTGTTTACTGTCCGTTGGTGATTGTTGGTGCGATGTGGGTAGTGGTACCGGTGAGGTGGTGGTGGTGCTGTGGGTGCGATTATGGTGTTGTGGATGCGATGGTGGTGTCCCGATCTGTGGTCGTGGTTGTGACTGTAATAATTTTTTTTTTTTTGCGATGGGCTAATTTGTTTGAAGTGGTGGCGACGGCTACGGTGTGACAGCGAGGTGGTGCTAGCTTGCAGATAGCTGAGGCGGTGTTTTTTTATGGTGGTGCTGTGCGGGCGGCAGTTATTTAAATCTGTGGTGTGATTTGTGACCAAGATTGATGGTGTGGCGTTTAGTGTATGTGACCAATTATTTGGACTAACTGTGACCTTAAAATTCGACAATTTGTGACCAAAAATTAATATGCGACCAATAAATTTGAAAATATGTGACTGATAGATAACCGTGATATGTAATTTTTTGATCTGTGACCAATAAAATTATTGATTTGTGACCTGCAAAATTTTTAATCTGTGACCGATAAAAAATTGTGACATATAAAATTTTTGAACTGTGACCATAAAATAAGTCGTGACTTATAAAATTTGTGATTTGTGATCAAAGAAAAATATGTTACCTATCAATTGGTGACCGATGGACAAATTGTGACCTACAAATTTTTTGAATTGTGATCGTAAAATAATTTGTGACCTATAAAATTTTAGATTTGCAATCTTGAAATAATCTGTGACCTACAAATTTTTTGATATGTGACCGATAAACAAATTGTGATGTACAAAATTTTTGAACTGTGGCCTTAAAATAATTTGTGACCGAAAAAAAATGTGACTAACAAAATTGTGAATCTGTGACCATATTTTATAAATCTGTGACTTATATAATTAATTAATTAAATCAGAGTTGTTGCCGGAGTTGGACCAATTGCCGGAATCGGAGTACTCGTCGGAATAAAGATGTGGCGGAACGGTTACCGGAATAGTCGTCGGAATCGGAGCAGTCACCAAAAAATTCAGCTGAACGGTTGCCGAAAAATTTGTCGGAACAGTCGTTGGAGAAGACTGGTGGCAGGAACGGTCGCCGGAGTAGTTCCCGAAACAGTAGGGGTGGTGGAAGTGGGGTGTGTTAATTATGTTATAGTATAATTAAATATTTAATAATTTATTATTTCATAAATAAAAAAAAATCTGATTTTTAAAATTTGAAACTTATTTTCTTATTTTTGAATTACACTAAAAAAACACAAAGTGGACAAGTTGAAGATTTGAGCAATGGGACCATTTAATTTCCACGGAGGAGAAAAAAACTTAGGAGTCATAAAATGATGCTCCATAAGTTTATACATATCAGTCACCAAAAAATTTGTCTTGCTATCACAAAAAGAAAAAGAAAACAAGAAACCAAAAATATAATTTGCTTTCCCACTTTTGTCATCTTTTAGGATATAATTTTGTCTCTCTCATTTGTGCGACACGTTTGGGGATGTTGTGAAAAAAAGAAAAGAAAAGAAAAAGAACTAAAAGATTAATAACATGATGTGATTAAATAAATATTGAGTCAATAATTTAGGTAGGAAAAAAAAAACCATCACGATTGAAACTAAAATTTTCTTATATGGAAAAACTCGTTATGATTTATTTCACCCTCAACATATTATTTTCTAGCAGAACTTAAAGATACTTAACCAAAAATTTTTAATCGTGAAAATATAAAATA